CAGTCGTAAGAGGGCTGCCCGATGATGTTGCGCATGGCCGTATGGCCGGGGCGATGCCCCGCCGCCTGGGGACCCCGTCCTGGCGCCCGTTCACGCCTCGTGATGGCCCTCTGAAGGGCTTGGCGCCAGCGCCCATTTGCCTGCCATAGGCGCCGCTGTACACCGTCGGGAAGCACACTGTCGATGAGAGAGAAAGCAGCCGTCAGCAGGTCCGAGTCATCACAGACGTCGGAGTCCTGCAGCATCATGTGGCCGCTCTCAACACGTTGCTGACTTCCTGGGTACTCTTCAGCTTGAGCAGCATGCATCTGCATGAGACTGCAGCACCGCGTATGGTCCGTACACACCCGGCGCGAGCATACCAGGTGGCTCGCGAGGATTCCCTGGCACGCCCACGGCGAAGGCCTGAGCCTCCAGTTCCATCAAGTCGCAATAGTTTGGCGGATGCACTGGAGTAGGCCTGTTCCCGGGCAAGAGGTCTGACCGATGCCGAAGGTTACGCTCGATCTCCGAGGGGGTGGCCTCGACAGTGTCGGCCTCCATATGGTCCTCGTCGCTGCTCTCGAAGGCCATGATGTTGCCTGGGTTGCCGAACACCCAGTCAAGGAAGGAAAGGGGCTGGTTTCCCAGCGTTCCGTTCTCCACAGGCGTGAGCTCGATGGCTCCGACGTTGTGCATGCGGAGGTACTCGAGGTAGTAGGTAGTACGCGTAGAGCCCGTGGCCGCACGCCTCGATCTCGTCCAGCATGTCCATCTTGCTGACCCAAATGAAGAATATCTGTTCCGCAGCCTCGAACTCTTGGAGGCTAAGATACTCAATAGCAGTTCACCTAAGCCCACATGGACTTCGGGCGATCTACCCTTTCCATTCCCTCTCACTGGACAATCCTTCACGAGGTGATCGGTGCTATCACATTCATGGCATTTCAAGATCTGGCCGTCTCTACCTCGCGGGTTCCCCCGCCTACCTTTGCCTTTGCCCGAGGTTTCCCTACGGCCTTTTCCACTGCCTTTTCCCCCGAAAAATATCTCATCATACTGATCATCTGAAAGCCTCTGGAGGAAAGCCGTGATGCCTCGTCCGTTCAACCTTCGGCGACCCCGTGTGCCTTTGCCTTTGCCTTTGAAGCTCCCCCTTATCCTCCTCCTAACACGACGCACTGGTTTTCGTGTAAAACTCCTCCACCTGCGCATTGTCTGTTGGAACAACCAAAACAGATGCCCGGCACGCTGGTTATCACCTCCCATTTGCACGATATCTGACCTGTCTAGCGGTTCGACGCCATCTGACGATATCGCGTCGGCGTCGGTGCCTGAGTCGACGTCGCCATCTCCTAGGTAGGTGGATACTCCGTCGCTTGGGGGGGGGGGTCGCTTCTCCCCATCGAGAGCGGTGGGGCTGAGGTTGTCTAGGAGGGGGGCTGGTTGCCCAGCTAGGTTGCGATCTATCCCCTGCTAGTAGAGCAGTAGATTCACCAGGATCGTCGGCCCAAATGTTTGTGGGCCCGTTGCCAGGCTGAGCTTCAGAGGTTAAGGTAATATAGAAATGTCCACTGCCAGTTCCCCTTCCCCTTCCAAACACTGATCCCACGTTGCCAGGAGACCGTTCTGACAAATGGCCTATCGAGCGCGCCCTCTCACACAGTTCTTCATGCTGTTGCCGTGTTCGGGGCATTTGGTGGCTGAGTGGCTGTTAGAGTTGCATGGCTCGCTGGTTGCCGACGCCTAAGGCGCGGAGTAGGATAGTCGCACGTAGATGGAATTTGGGAAGGTCAAAGCCCATCGATTGCGCCTCAAGACGGGCCATTTCGAACCGAGTAAAGGTTACGTCGATTCGTTCTCCGTGAGGCACATGGAAGTCGTTGAGCTGAGTGCCTGAGGTGAGTTGGCGCTCATCCTCCAGGCGTTCGAACTTCATGCTTAAGAGGAACATGGTGTATGTTACTGGGTCAGTGTGGACACCGTCGATGTCCGCACCATAGTTTATGATGTCAGGTGGTACCCCCATGGCGAGTGTCCTCGCGAGGCCGCCCAGGCCGCGTTGGATGGCGGCTGCTTGGGCCTGTGGCGTCATGCGCCAGCTCGTGACGTTAAGCCACGCGTTGACCTCGTAGACGTACGCGCGAAAGGGTACGTTGCCTTGAGGGTCCCAGTATGGGCTATGTGTTTGCCTATCGGTGCTATTGTCTCCTCGGCGCATGTGTCCGGTTGCCGCTCCCAGCGCAAACCATATAATGGCGAAGATAACCAAACCAAGGCTGTGAACGTATGGGTGGTTATCGGGCGCGTTGCCGCGCTGGGGCGGGTATAGTTGCGCCTTGTCAAGTCTGCGAGGCGCTTTATCTTGCGGGTTTCCCCGCCTACGCTTCAGGTACTGCGCTTTCGGCTCGTTGCCGAGCGGTTGGTGATAGCGTAGTGATGAAGCGTATATGGTACCAACGTTGTTGTCTAGACGTCGTACCTCTCGTGTTGCTTCTCGCTCTTGAGTTGATCCTCGTAGATGTAGGTGGTATGTTGGCGCAGGGTAGGAAGGTGGTCACGAGGATCGTGCCCGGTAGCGTAAGGATGAGAAGAGCAAGAGCTGACCACACGAAAGTGCGGCCAGCTCCGCTACCAAGTCTGAAATGACTCTTGTAGGTCAGATTGCATCAGATTCCATGTCGAAAGAATACGATATGGGGTGTGGATGGGTAAGATAGGAAAAGATCGATGTATCGGTCTTTCCAGCACATAGCGAATACCAAAGCAAGTATCCGGGCAAATCGGGCGCGCGTGCCTTGAGCCATAAGGCAGCGACGCGCAGGCTATACTCCCGATTGCAAATAACATCTCCCAAAGAGCTACCCTTAAAGTGTAGAGGCCGAATGCTCGTGCAAGAAGAACACGCCGTCCTTCATTTGGTCTTTGTACAGATCACAAACGAATTCAAGATGAGCGAGGCCCTCCGCAAGTTTCTGCTTCCACTCCTGGCTGTCCGGAGCGAAGCCCTGCATGGCAGAGAGTGCCACGTTGGGAGGCGAGCCGACGAGCAACGCCGGTCTCTCCCTCTGTCTGGTCTCGCGGGCCCGCTCTCGTTCGACAGCCTGTGTGAAATCGTATCCGGAACGGACGTCCATGGCAGTGCCAGGCGGGAGGTCGAAAGCAGACGAGCGGCTCGTGAACCGCCCTGGCCCGAAAACCTCTGCAGCGCCTGTCCGGCACACGCCAAACGAAGGCAACACCGAAGAGAGCTCGCCCAGCAAGTGCGTCGACTCGCTGGTCAAATCCACGCCGCCGATCTCCATGTCAGCTCCCCGGCGCGCCCTCCTGGGCGGTGATGCGCCCTCCAGCGGCACTTCCGCTGGCCTGCCCACGGCTATGCCCGAAGGCGCGGAGCTTCCCGCAGCCTCCAGGCGCCCTTGCGCGGTGCTACCCGCTGCAAGGACCGTAGGTGATGGAGTGGAGACCCCCATAGGGACCTCCGAACGTGGCCCTAAGATGGCCCAAGACGGCCCAAGAGGGCCTCCAAGAGAGCCTCCAAGAAAGCCCGCAGAGGCCAAAATCATGCATGTTCCGTGGGTGTTTGAATGATTTTGGAATGTGCTTATTGTCGGCCTTCCGACGGCCCGAGACGGCCCAAGAGCCCCCAAAGATCGCCCCAAGATCGCCCAAGAGGCCTCCAGGATGGCCCCAGAGCAACCCAAGAGGCCTCCAAGACGATCCCACGAGGGCCCCAAAACGGTCCAAGAGGCCTCCAAGAAGCCCAAGATGGCCTCCAAGACGGCCCTGGAGCACCCCAAGAGGGCCCCAAGTCGGCCCAGAGTGGCCCCCCAAGACGGTTTCCGACGGCGTCAGGCGGGCTAGAAGCCAACCAGGATGGCCAAAGAGGCCCCCGAGAAGCCCCCGAAGGCCCCAAAGAGGCCTCCAAGAGGGCCCCCAAGATGTCTCCAAGAGGCTCCCAGGAAGCTCCAAGGAGGCCTCAAGAGTGTCCCCAAAGGCTCCCCGGATGCCCCATCCTCCTCCTTTTCCTCCACCTCCTCCTCCACCTCCTCCTCCACCTCCTCCTGATCTACCCCGCCATCCTCCCCCACGTGTTCCCATTAGGGTTTCCGCAACGGCTGGGAGAACACATGGTCCGATAGCTTGGAAAAGCTCTTGCCACAACGCTCGGCCAAATGGGCGATTCTAGAAGGCAGGGGGCGGCGGTGATTCGCCGTAGGCGTCTTCGATACATTATTGTTGAGACCGACCTATGAAGAAAGACATTAGGGGAGGGGTTATTGCAACTCGTCGTCCTCTTCGTCTGCCTCCTCCTCCTCCTCCACCTCCGCCTCCTTCCCCTCCACATCCCCTCACCAGTTTTCAACTCAAACTCCAACTCCTCCCCCAACCCCACCCATTCAACTGTTTTTGCTCTTTCTCCTCGTCCTCCCTCCTCCTCTTCCTCCTCCTCCTCCTCCTCGTCATCATCATCATCACCACCACCACCACCAACACCCCTCCTCCTCCTCCCCCTCCTCCTCATCGTCATCATCATCAACATCATCATCACCGCCACCTCCATCATCATCATCATCATCATCATCATCATCATCATCATCATCATCATCATCATCATCATCATCATCATCATCATCAGCGGCAGCAGCAGCAGTATCATCATCAGTGTCAGCATCATCATCATCAGCATGATCATCAGCATCATCGTCGTCATCATCATCAGCAGCATCATCATCATCATCATCGTCATCATCATCATCATCATCATCATCATCATCATCATCATCATCATCATCCTCATCGTCCTCATCCTCATCCTCATCATCATCAGCATCATCATCACCATCAACATCATCGTCGTTGTGGTCGTCTCCACCAGCATCAACAGCCTTACCCTCTCCCATCATTACCACATCCCATCCACCTCCCCATCCTCCCTCCTTCTCACCCTCCCTCATTGTCCCCCCTCCTAGTCATCATCCCACGCGATGCTCCTGGTCTTCAATGCAACCCTCCCCGTCCTTTCGCGCGTGGATCAAATCGCACACGTCCTGGCCGCTCGTCGTTGGAAGAGGCAATGATAGGGGGGGCCGACGACAGCGGCTAGGACGACGACAATACTTACGAGCTGAAGGAGGAGGCGCAGGCAACTGCAACGACGCAACGCATAGAACATTCTGAGCGACCTCCCTTTGCACGCCCAGTGCCAGGGGAGAAGGGAAGGATGAGAATGTCGAGAATGCACCCAGGATGCATCGCAAAAGATGCTGCAATACGCCCTCACGCTCCGAGTCCCCTCCTCAGAAATCCCTGCAAGCATGTCTTTCCACTGCGGAGAGCGCCCCCCTTGAATGACCAGCGCCCGGTGGGCCTGCCACTCACGCGAGACCCCGTTGTGAGAAGCGTTCACCCCCCATCCTTCCGGCGAACAGATGCGCAAAGAGGCAGGACGATGGAACTCAAGAGGATATCCACCAATAGCGCCGTGTTGAACCAGACCTTCCCACCACCCGCTCAAGTGTCACACCATTGCAAACTGCAGATTCGGGAGAGCAAAGAAGCCGCCATCCTTCCCGTGCAACTTTCGCAAAATTTGAACGGGAATCTTCTGTGCACGCTGCACTGGTGTAAAATCCCAACCTTCCCCGCTCTGTAGCTGCCCCCTCTCGAAAATTCACCCCGCTCTCTCCGGAATGAGCCCTCCCCCCTCTCCCGAGAACCCCATCCCCCCTCCGAAAGTCGGGACGGGAAAGGAGATTCGACCCCCCCCCTCCCCCTTCCCAAAATCGGGGGGGGGGGGCAGCGCCGCATCGTCGTCGGCGTCGTCGGCATCGTCGTCGTCGTCGCCGACGCGACCGCCGCCAACGTTGCCGTTGTCGTCGTCATCATCGTCGTCGTCACTTGCCGGCTAATCCGTCGGTCTGGCGGGCGGGCGGGCCACGTTGTTGAAGTGTGCGAATCGCTCCGGCGGGCGGGCGGGACACGTCGTCATTTGCTGGCGGGTAGGTCGGTCAGTCGGGCGGGCGTGACACGTCGTCTTCGTGGGCAGTCTGGCGGGCGGGCGGGACACGTCGTCGTCCTCGTCCTCGTCGGCGTCGTCGCGTCGTAGTCGTCGTCGTCCTCGTCGTCGTCTTCGTCGTTTGCCGGCGCTGGGCGTCGTCGCCGTCGATATTGCCGTCGTCGTGGGCGAGTCGGTCGGTCTGGCGGGCGGGCGGGACACGTGGTCGACGTTATCCCCCCCCTCCACGCCCGGGGCCGCCGCCCCCCCGCCTGGCGCTCCCAGGGAGACGGGTTTGAAGGGGTGCCTCGCCTGGGAAGGGAGGCCAGGCGGCTCCAGAGAGAAAGGGGGGGATTTTCGAGGGGTGGGGGTCGACCATCCCTGACTTCCTCCCAGCGAACTCAGAAGACTCTCTGTCAGACGAATGTGCGCGGCGCGAATGCAAAAACCGCATTCCGAAAAGAAGCCGGCATACATCTTATATGCTGGGAGGGGCACCGTTTAGGTCTGGCGAGTTCACGGCGAGAACCAAGAGACAAATAATAATGGAAGAGCCGCGTGTACGAAAAAAACAGGGCACGAGCCAATCACATCGAATTAAAAGGGGAATCGCGTAGTAATGCCTCCATACCTAGCAGTACCCCTGATCAGTCACACGGCCAGCCTCATCTGAAATGTGAAGACAAACCTTGCTGTGAACCATGCAACGTGCTCAACTCGTGAACGATCACTCATTCAATATAATTGTTGGCATTCAAAGTCAGACTACTGCGACTGTGATCTGCAAAGAAATTCCACGACTGATGCAAGCATCGTGTGGCAGGAAGCACGATGGTAAAGAGCAGAAGCGATGAAACAACGATCCTGGCCCGAGATCACATCCCAGACTCCGTCGGTTGCGCAAACCAATATAGCCTGCAAGGGTATGAGGATATGCACTCGGCCAAACAATAAGAAAATAAACGAGCAGAAATGGAGGAAACGGATGACCAGCGCCGTACTACTACATAACAATTCACTACGACCTTCTTTATTTCCACTTCACCATTCTTTGCACGATGTCGAAAACGACTCAGCTTGTCCTTGTCGACCCAATCATAACGTAGCGCTAATACCATTGGTCCCAATTACTATACACCCCCTCCCCCAAGCGACCGGCAGCCAACCAAGAACAATGAGGACGCCATGCCCACCCCCTCACACCATCCCTGTCAAAAGACAGCGCAAGGCACACTCTGCCTCCACATGTGGGGCATGCGCGGCCAGGCCGATGCGGCCAACCCCCGCCAGCCCTGTCTACAGAAACAAAGCAAACTATACTTCGGGGCAAAAATCTTGTGTCATGTTCGTGAGGCCCGCGAGCTCTTTGCATTGTTTTTGAAAGGGACGCCGGGGGCGTCAGCATATTGTCTGCTGTGCGCAGGGCTACCATCCCTGACGAAAGCAATGCAAAATGCACCTCGCGCCTAAATCTGGATCATTCGCGGCCACCCGGCGATAACCGTCAAGTGGCTTTTGACTGGGACTGCGGGGGCGGTGGCGCATGGCCTGCTGTGCGCAAGCCCACCAGACACAGTGATGGGCATTGGATTTCGACAAGGATGGCGGGGGTCGACATGAGCATTTTGCAAACTCCCTGTTAATGCGGGATCTGCTATGGCCCAGCCGCGGAGGGGAGGAGCCCGTAGTCCGCGGCCCCGCGCCGGCGCATGCGCGCCGCGGGCGGGGCGTCGCGCCCTCGCCCACCCGGCGCCGCGAGGCATCTGCCTCAGCGCGCCGCGGACCACCCTGATACCGATGGCCGCGAGCTGCAGGAGGCCGCGCAGCAGGCATGGAACTCGCAGAGGCAACCCCCGCACTGTAGGACGTGTCCCACTGCGCTGGGTTCTCAGCTCGGCGCCGCCTGGATTCTGGATGATCATCTGGCGCGCGACTGCTTGGCCTCTTCGCTCCCTCGCCGCTGCCCTCGCTGTCCTTCCCCTTGCCAGCGGCGTCGCCCGACGTCCTTGCTGCCGCGGCGCGAGGCTTCGCAGAATGCGGCCTCGTAGCCCCCTCGGCAGATGGCTCGCGAGAAGACGCGCTGGCTCCGACTTAGTCGGCTGGCGCCTCTGCGCTCGTTGCACGCGCCTTCGGCATTGGGGCCCCTCGGAAGTCTGCCCGCGGTCAATGGTCCCGTCGCGGACAAGATACTACATATTGTTGTTTCCATACTTCGGGAGAGTGTTCAGGCACAAGAGAAAACTACGCTGATTTGGATGAGCACTGAAGAAATGGTAGCTGACGGCCTGACTAAGAATTTGGCGTTTATTGCGATGTTGCTTGATTTCTCTGCTTCCAAGAAGTTCGCGATTTCACCTCCGCGGAGGAAGCGACAGGCCGCGAAGCCAACAACAGTCCTGATTACATCGACAAGGAGACCAACCACGAAAGGATCGAGTGCCACACTGAGGAGATCGACCGCGAGGGGATCAGATACCACACCGAGGAGATCAACCGCGAGTGGATCGGGTACCACACCAGGAATAACATCGGGGAGCGGATCGAGCACCACATTGAAGGATCCAGCTGTGAGCAAGAAAAAATCCCAGCCTCAGATTTCGCATTGCAGCGTCGGTATATCCATGGCCTCGGCAAGGGAATCATCCACTACGACTGTGACCGAGGAAGACGACAATGCAGTGATCTACATTACGCTGGCCATCCTGTTCGCGATGACTATGGCTGTGATGTACCTCATGTGGCAGATAAGGGAGATCAAAGCATCGATTCGACAGTCCCAGGAGATCGAGAGAATGCCGCGTTCGATTCACGAGGATGATGATCGCGCGCGAGGTTCGACTCCGACATCGCCAGGCACCACTACGAGGACGAGAACGCCCAAGATAATTGAAAGCGACGAGCCCGAACCCATGGATGTCGAGAGCGACAATGCCATGTTTGGAGAAGAACCAATTCAGGTCACGAGGCGGAGGACGGCCAAGACGGTAAAACACTATCGACGACGAAGTTGTACGTGACCCGAGGAGTCGCCCGGCTAGGAAGGTTGAGATCAAGACGGTACCGCAGGACTTCGATTTCCTGGGCATCAAGACGAAGTTGCAGAAGGCCGGTCTCGAGGACATTCCCGTGGTGATCAGGTGTCGGAGCGTGTGCTGAGGCACTACAGTCCAGGAGGGCAGGCAGATTACTAAGGACGAGGCGAACAAGAGGGCCAGCGGCATCGGCTACTACGTGGACCCTGAGTCTATCGACGGACGTCTGAGGATGCGAGGAGCGTGCTGCAGCGTTGAGAGAGAAGGCAAAGGCCATGTTGGCAGCCTCAGTGAGTTAAGTTCAGGACAGATAGATTACGGTTTCCTCTTTCATATTCCAGTGCACTCCTGGTGAGCGGTTCGCCTTCATGAAGCTACTCCATATTTCCATGTTGCAGCGAGCGACTCGATTTGATGAAGTCGATGGTTTGCTGGTTTCATCCGTTCGAGCTCCAGATGGCATCTGGCAGGAAGAAGGAGCTGACGGACTGCGTGCGTTCCTACCATATCCCATCCTCCGCCCGTACACGTACGTCCTCTACTGAGTTCCTGAGGCTTCCTGAGATGTTGACCGAGGGGCCCACATATGCGTGCCAACCAACCAGGGGCTGCCCCTTTTTATATAGGCCAACCAGGGGCCGCGTGGTGAGGCCCGACTGGGGCCCGTGCACTTGAGGACCTCTGGAGAGCCTTCTGGAGGTCCGCTGCCCGCCGCCGTTTGGCTCTGCGGGCCCCGCAAGGCCCTTGACCACTTTACGGTATTCCGCCCGGCGGGCGGCTGATGTGTTCTGGCGCCGCGCGCTGGAGAGAGAGAGAAAAGCATCCTGATCGCTTTGCGACTCCGCTATGTCCCAAACCCCCGATACCCGCCCTCCTCGTCTTCGATCGTACCCCCTCTAGGGGCAAATTTTTCTGACCTGCCCCGCATATTGGGCGCAGCCCCTAAAAGAGCAAGAGGGATGAGAAAGGAGAGAAAAAGAGAGAGAGAGAGAGAGAACAAAAAAAAACTATCTCTTGGAGAGGGAAGGAACTATGCTGGGGCCACGAAGGGCAGCAATGGAGCCACTGAGGGCACGAGCGACTGGGGGCCACGAAGGGCGAACATATGGGCCACAAAGGGGCAACGAGAGGGCCACTGAAGGCATCGGGGGGGAGGCACACGGGGCTACACTGGGGCCACGAATGGCAGCAATGGGGCCACTGAGGGCACGAGCGACTGTGGGCCACGAGGGGTGTGTATATATATATATATATATACATATGTATATATATATATATATATATATATATATATATGTATATGTGTGCCACAAAGGGCAGCGAGGGGGCCACTGAGGGCACCAGCGGGGCCACTGAGGGCAGCAGTGGGGCCACTGAGGGCACAAGCGGCTGGGGGCCACGACGGGCATATATCGGAGGTGCGAGGGTGAGATCGAAGTGGAACGGAGAGCCCCCATACTGGGAAATCGGTTTCGGTTTCGTGTTCGTGCGTGCCACGCGTGAGGGCGAGGCGAAACTGCGTGGGCGGGCGAGAAGAAAGTCTCCTCCGGCTGAAGCGCGGCCGGACCAAATGATTCCTTTCCGGGGGCCGGTAGCCCGCGGTGTCCCGCCCGTGTCCCGCCTCTGGCTGAGGCGCGGCTGGACCAAATGTTTCCTTCCCGGGGGCCGGTGGCCCGCGGTGTCCCGCCGGTGTCGCGCCGGTGTCCCGTCGGTGTCCCGATGATGATGATGATGATGGTGATGATGATGGTGATGATGATGATGATGCTGATGATCATGATGGTGTCGATGATGTCGATGATGATGATGACGGTGATGATGATGATGATGGTGGTGATGATGGTGTCCCGATGATGATGATGATGATGATGATGATGTTGACAATCTTGATGATGATGATGATGGTGGCGATCATGATGGTGTCCCGATGATGATGGTGATGGTGATAATGATGATGATGATGGTGATGATGATGATTCTGACGATGATGATGGTGTCCCGATGATGATGATGTTGATGATCATGATGATGCTGATGATGATAGATGATGATGATGAGATGATGATGATGATGGTGTCCCAATGAGGATGAAGTTGATGATGATGTAGTTGATGATGATGGTGTCCCAATGATGATGGTGTTGATAATGACGATGGTGGTGTCCCGATGATGATGATGATGATGATGATGATGATGATGATGATGACGATGATGTTGATGACGAGGGTGATGATGTGATGATGATGATGTTAATGAGGGTGGCCCGATGATGATCATGATGATGTTGATGTTGGTGATGATGGTGTCCCGATAGAAATGATGATGGTGATGATGATGCTGGTGACGATGATGATGGTGTCCCGATGACGATGTTGTTGATGATGATGGCGTCGCGATGGTGATGGTGATGTTGCTCATGATGATGATGATGATGATGATGATGAGATGATGACGGTGGTGGTGTTCCGATGATGATGATGCTGATGGTGTCCCGATGATGATGATGATGATGATGATGATGATGATGGTGACGATGATGGTGTCCCGATGATGATGATGGTGATGACGATGATGTTGATTATGATGGTGATGAAATGATGATGACGATGGTGTCCCGATGATGATGATGATGATGATGATGATGATGATGATGTCGTTGATGTTGTTGATGATGCTGATAACGTTGATTGTGAGATCGATTGTGATACCGATAGTGAGATCGATAGTGAGACCGAATGTGAGATCGACTGTGAGATCGATAGTGGGATCGATAGTGACATCGATTGTGAGATCGATGGTCAGATCGATTGTGAGATCGATCGAATGAAATAAATCGAGTGATACCGATCGAATGAGATCGATAGAGCAAGACAGATAGTGAGACCGATAGTGAGATCGATAGTGAGACCGATCGAGTGAGACGTTGGTTCCTCCCCCCCCGAACCTCCTTATCACCCGAAGGGTGGTCGTATAAGTGTGTGTGTGTATATATATATATATGTGGGCCACAAAGGGCCTGCGCCGGGGTCACGAAGGTCAGTAATGGGGCCACTGAGGGCACGAGCGACTGGGGGTCACGAAGGGCCAATAGATGGGCCACAAAGGGAAGCGAGGGGGCCATTGAGGGCATCGGGGGGGAGGCACACGGGGCTACACTGGGGCCACGAAGGTCAGCAATGGGGCCACTGAGGCCACGAGCGACTGGGGGCCACGAGGGGCGTATATACGGGCCACACAGGGCAGCGAGGGGGAGGGCAGCAGCGGGGCTACGAAGGTCAGCAATGGGGCCACTGAGGGCACGAGCGACTGGGGGCCACGAAAAGCGTGTATATATATGGGCCACAAAAGGCAGCGAGGGGCCACAAGGGGAGGGGCCACTAAGGGCAGCAATGAGGCACAAAGGGGGCGAGCGAGCATGGGGCACGAAGGGCATGACCCTGACGGGTGGGCCGAGCGGGCGGATCGATCGTGAGTTCTGCGTGGTTAGCCCGGAAGTTTCCAGCGAGAGAGCGACTCCTAAGTAAATTTGAAGAAGTCCCCAGCGAACGCGCGATTCCTGAATGGCAAGAGGTCGGCACCTGAGTAAATTGCGAGGAATTCTCAGGCGGGAGCGCGATTTTTTGGTAAATCGAAAGGAAGTCTCAAGCGGGAGCGGGGGACCAGAGTCAATTTGGAGGAAGTATCAAGCGGGAGCCGTTCTTGCTGTAAACTGGGGGCCAAGGGCACAGTTTGAGGAGGAAGACTTCCCCTGATAAAAAACAAGGTGCGAGCGCCGGGAGGGGCACTTCAATTGAAAAATATAATGTGCACCAGAGGGGGGGATCAACAATTCGCCGGCCCAACGGGCCAGAGGCGTGCTAAGATCTCCGGTAACTGGTTAACAATTGTATTGTACTAGTTCGCGCGCGCGGGGCGGCCCCTGGGGGTCCCCCGGCGAAAAGTACCCCGCCCGCCGCCTGGGAAGGTCCCGCCCGGTTCAACTCAGAGATGGTTTTCCTTCTGGGTGCGGCCTCTCAGGCCGCCCTGAGCGCGCCAAGAGTGCCCCAAGAGGCCCCCAAGATTGCTCAAGAGGCCCCCGAGACGTTCAAAGAGCGCTCCAAGGCGCCGAAGATGACCCCAAGACGGCCCAAGAGACCCCCAAGACAGCCGAAGAGGCCTTCAAGACGCCCCAAGAGCCTTCCAAGAGGCCTCCGAAGAGGGCCCCAAGAGGCCAAAATCGTTGATTTTCATTGGTTTTTCCGATGTTTTTTGCGTTCTGGCTTTTTCGGCTTCCGGACGCTCCAAGACGACCCAAGAGGCGCCCAAGATCGCTCCAAGACGGCCCACGAAGCTCCCAAGACGGCCCCGAAACGGCCCAAGAGGGCCCCCAAGACGGCCCAAGTGCCGCCCAAGACGGACCAAGAGGCCCCAAGACGGGCCCAAGAGGGGCTCAAGAGGGATACAGAGAACTGAAAAATCGAGCCCTCCGCCCCAGAAGCCGCCCAGGAGGTCCCAAAGAGGCCCCAAGAGACCCCCAAGAGGCCCCCAAGACGCCCCAAGAGGCGCCCAAGAGGCCCAAAAGAGGCCCCAAGAGGCCCCAAAACGGCCCTCAACAGGCCCCAAAACTCGGCTAGCCCACCACGGCGCGATCATGCAATATGGACAAGCGGAGTGAGCGAAACGATTGAATCACATTTCATTTCAGACCTCCTCTGCGCCGCCTCCGAGGCCGTCCGAGTTCACCCCCCGTCTGGGCCACCCCCCTTTACGTTCACCCGAATGTCGGGCCCTGGGGCCCTCAGACATCGATCCGGGGCGAAAGAGCCGAGCCGGACGGACCACGTTGGAAGCCCGGGGCTCGATTCTGAGCCGATGTTCGGGAGAGCGCGTCACTGGATTCAGGCAGGTTCGCTTGCATGGGATTTTGGCTCCGCCGCCTCACGAGGCAGTGCAAGGCCGGTACAGCGTGCAAGTGGGTTTCGGCCTGAGCGGAGTCCAGATCTCCTTCGGGGCCTTGCCCGACCCCCTCCGTGCAAATAAACTTGCCAGAGTCTGAAGAGAAACTAGATTCAGGAAAAAAACCTTATACGTACACTGGCGCGCAGAGCGCGCCAAGAGCGGCGCCGGAGGCGCCGCCGGAAGGGCCCAGCGCCGATCCAAGAAATCCGCGCGGACCCCCGAAAGTTTAAGCTTATAGCGTTTTTTCTTCCTCGAAGAACGGCCTCTGGACAGGAGCGCTGGCCAGAAGACGACGACGACGAGTTCTCCATCGATCTTCGCCGTTCTCTCGGTCCTCCGCCGCTCTCGGCCTGTGTTCCACCGGGGCATCTTCACCACAAAAGGCCGAACGCAACGACTCAACAAAAAAAACAGCCCCCGCTCCCTGCAGCTCCGCACTGCCGACGACCTCTCATCCAGTCGACCGCGGTGCGCAATACGGGCCGGCGGAATGAGCGAAGCGATTAAATAATTATTCAGTAACGAGAGTTCGACGACGCAACAAGCAGAATCCTCACCACGGATCCCCACTTCAGCCGCGCACACAGGGGCAATGAATGACCGTTCGGCCCCCTCACTCTGATTTTGTAGAACTTGGGATTCAACAACGTCCCCCCTACACTCACCACCCCCGTCCCCGCCACTCCACCACCCCCCTCCGTTGTTCCTCCTTCCACCCCTCTCCTCCCTCCCTCCCACCCCCATCAAAAAACCCTCCTCCTCATCCGTCTTCCCATCTGCCATGTCACCTCCGCCGCCGCCCGCCGCCGCTGCCATGACCGCCGCCAGCCACTGCCGCAGCCAACGTCGCCGTTGCCGTCCCCGCCGATGGGCGGGCGGCCGCGGCGGCGCGCTCCGGCCTGCCCAGGCGACGTGCCGTCGGATACCTCCTGGCACCGCACCTGGCGCGCGGGGAGCGGCGCACCCGCCCTCGCCGCCGCCGGCACATGCCAGTGCCGCTGCCGCCGTCGCTTGCCGTTGTCCGCCGTCGCTCGCCGCCGCCGCCGTCGCCATGGCCGTCGCCCGCCGCCCTCATCTTGTCTGTTCGTGCTGGCACGGAAGCCGCACCCTTCCTAGGCCTCTGGGCGTCGCGGGTAAATATCACGACATATTTGTGTTCCACGTCTTGGCCCTGTGGACGCCCGTCTCGGGCCCCGGGAGCCATTCAGAAAAAAATATCCGCGACACAAAACTGGTCCTAAGAAAAACACAGCGCTTGAAATCAGGAAGAACATCCGCTCCAAATTGGTCCCTAGACACCTCCCTGGGTCCATCTGGACTAGCTTTTCGAGCAGCATCCAGCCGTGCCCACGAGATCCACCTTGGAGGACGGCAATCAAACACTCGGGATCCTCCTTTTCCACCTCCTCCTCCTGCTCCTGCTCCTGTTCGTCTGCCTGCTCCTGCTCCTCCTTTCCCCCCCCCTCTTTCCTGATGCTCCTCCTCGCCCTCCTCCTCCTCCTCCTACCCGTACTCCTCTTTCATCCCTCCTCGTCAGAAATAACACCTCCATGTCGCACCCCCAGGCGTGTCCGTAAAGCGGGCAGGGCGTGTCGCCCGAGACGGAAGCTTGAACCTTACAACATATTCAAAGATGGAGGGCGGGTGGTTTTCAACATGTGGCTGTCTATTTAGCGCCGCGCACGTTCGTGTTAAAACATGGAACGATTTCAAAGATGGAGGGCGTGTGGTCTTCAAAATGTAGCAATCACCTTAGCGCAATGCACATTCGTGTTGAAATATTGCGACAGCTTCAACAATGGAACGGGGTCTTCGTCGAATTGTGTCTCTCGCTTTGGCGCCGCGCACTCGTCTGAAATATTTGCAACAACTCTAGGGATGAATGGGCGGCTTATGTTCAAGTGGACCTCGCCTTAGCGCCGCGCACACTCGTTTTACAAGTCTGTAGAAGCTTCGAGGATTCGTGACGTTGTAGTCCCAGGAATGGTGTTATGGAACGTTCTAGAATTGTCAGGACGCAGCAATCGGGTTGTTTTGCGGGGCTGCATTGCGGGGCTGCAGTCCCAAAAATGATGTCCTGGCGCGATTTGGGACTGTCAAGACGCTCCAGCCACGTTGATTCGCGGCGCTGAAATCCAGGAATGGTGTTTGGCAGGATGAAGGATTACCAAACGATTGTCTTTAGTGGGGTGCTTCCCGCAATGAGCGACAATCCTTGTAGTGACGTACAAAGCGCGAACTTAGAGGTAGGGCTTATTGCAACATCGATGATGCCTCCTCCTCCTCCTCCTCGTCCTGGCGCGGCCGTCGTTTCACTAGATGCTCGGGTGCTCCAATCGAAGGCTCCCCGTCTCGTCACACGGGATTTCCTCTCGTCCTCCCTGACATTGAACGCGCGGTCCTCCCCAACTATCACGAATTATCTTCGCTGCAAGACTCCTCGTAGCAGGTCGGCACATCAGTGCTGCGTTTGCGGGTAGGTGCTATGGTGGAGCTTTCCTTCCACCCAACCAATCTGTCCTTCATGCTTTCTCGCAGGATCGCGACGTCATTTCGTGGGCACGTCGGACCTGGCCCCCACCCCCCTCTATACATTTGGCGCGCCTGGAAAACCAGAAAAGCCTCCCTCCGGGACACCAACTTCTGTAACCGGCGCCCCCCGCTCTCCAAAGGGGGGGGCGGGTTCGAACCGGGGGAGGTGGGCCCTGTCCAGGGGGGGGGTCGAACCAGGGGGCGGACCCTCCTCCTAATAGAATCCGACTGGGGCTCGATGGAGCAGTCGTAGAATCCGACCAAGGCTGCATATATCTGTGGTTGAATCCTATGACACGTCGACCCAACTCGAATACAATCCCACGAGGAACGATCCAACTTTAAGTAGCATCCCGAGCGGGCCCGATCGAATTTTACCAATGCCCTACTATAACTACATCCAACTCTGATTGAATCATACTAATCCTGCTAAGGCTCCGTCCTGCTCTAATCTAATCCTACGACTGACTGGGCGGAACGTCCAACGCGCACCCTTGTGGACTCCTGGAAAGGAGCCATAAGCGCTGGGTGCGCCGAGAGGCTTTGCCTCCCACGACAATGGCCCGGCGGGGCCCCCGACGAAAACGCAGACGAGCCCTCCACGGGCCTTCCGCTCCTGCCCTCCTCTTTTACGGGCCAGCGCGCGGGTCTCTCAGGGCACCATGTCATCACTTGGCACATCCACACAAGCGTCGGCGCAGCCTGGCCTCCAGTCGCTGGTCGCGTCCACGCCGCCGCTTGTCCTCCACAGTTTCTTCTTTTTCCTCCTCCTCCTCCTCCTCCACCTCCTCCTCCTCCTCTTCCTCTTCCTCTTCCTCCTCTTCGCCAGCTCCGCCTGGCTGTGCCACAGTCGATGGTTTGTCTCCGCCGTTTGCTCTTCCTCCTCCTCGCCGGCGCCGTACCTTGGCATTGGTCACTCACGGTCGTTGGCTCTGCGCCGCCATCATTGCGCGGCGCCCCGTCCTCCTGTTCCTCCTGTGCCTCCTCCTCGTCCTTTCCCTCCTCCTCTTCCTAATCCTCCTCCTGCTCACCATCCTTCTTATCATCCTCCTGATCCTCCTATCCTTCTCTCCGAGCGTTGCCTGCCAGAAACACAAAAAACAAGGCAAAATTGGGGGAGGCAAAAAGAGCGGTGACGGTAACGATGGCGAGACGGGAACTAACCTCGAAGCGTGTGGTCCATGGGACCCACCACACCACGCGGAAAGGGCCAAGACACCCACCCACCCCTTATTTCAGGATACGCGGCCCCAATCTCGCAAGCGCACGCACCAGCAAACATGCAGCTCAGCTCTGGCGGGCATATTTTAGCATGCGCCATGGTCCATCTGCCATTGTCCAACACCACCTTCAGAATTAGCTCATGATGATCCCCAACACATTTCCCTGCACGAAGCCGCGATTTTCACAATACCAATAAGGCTTAAGCACACACGCGCAATACTGACGTGGGCTTGCAGGCCCGAGATCCAAACCGGCACCGATACATGCCCGCCTTTCGAACACATGCATGGGATAGACGACGAATAATTTCAGGGAGGGGCCATATGGATCAGGCATTGACCCTGTGGCGCATTGTAAGATGCTCCAACATCACGGGTCGGCCTGCAAGAGCGCACTCATACGAAGCAACATTAACTTCCCCATGGCCGCGTCAGGCTGGTCAGGGGTCGGGGGGGAAAATTGACTCCAGGGCGGGTTGGAAACCTCGCAGCAAGCCAGGTTTCGCAGTGGGAGAGCATCATCCCGCAAACGAAAACCATGCCTGAGCAACCCCCATCCACCACGCAACCGCTTCGGGCGACGCCAGGTCCCCCCCCGCCTTTCGTCGCTGGCAAAATCCAACGAGAGCATTGCAATCCTGGAAGTGGGTCGCTCGCACATTGCGTCGGCTCGTCCCCAGCAGCGCGCGGTTCTGCCACCCTGTCGACAGCGACAGCGGCAGGGGCACTTTCCTGTGGCGGCGGAGCAAGCTGCCCACAGCAAGCACAAAGCCCATTGACCCCTTGGGCTGGGAGACCAGCGCGATTGTCACGATGCCCTTTAGCTCGCCTACCTCAACTGGGCCTCGACGAGCTCCTCAAGGGCCCCTCTTCGCCCAGTGGCCTGCCAGGCCTGGCGGCGCCTTGAGGCCCCGCGGAAATGGGCGGCCAAACGATTGCAGGAGTGGAGCTGCATCGTGCGTCTTCGGCAAACCGAGCCCGTGGCCCACGATCCTGGCTAACCCTGGATCTCGCACCCCGCCCTCCCACTGCGCGTTCGCTCTCAGAATGCGCCCCGACTCCGCGCTGAGCCCGCGCCCGAGGGTGACCTGCCGCGGGCTGGAAGGGGGCTCGGGCGCAGCCCTGGACATCGAGCTCGGCCCCAGGGCCGCCGACGCGAGGTCTTGCAGGGCATATGCATTTGCATAGAAGAGCCTGCAGGCCCAGAGCGTCCTAGAGGCACCTTCAGACTAAATGCTTGACCTGGCCGAGGTGCCTCCTGTCGCTGCGCCGCGCCAATTTGGCCCACTCTTGGAGAGGCCCTTCGCCCCGGGCCCCCCTCCCCGGGCAGAAAACTCCACGGTCCGCGGGAGGTCGGCTGCAATGGGCGCCGGCCACCCGGAGCTGTCGTGCAACAGGCAGCGGAGCAGCAGCAGCAGCAGCAGCATCAGCAGCAACATGCCCAGCGCGAACTGGACTAGTCGGCTCGCGTGGCGCAGGCGCGCCGCCCCTAGAACATGAACGACTGCCAATCTCTGATCCCGACGCAGAATGCGCACGCTGGCGCGCTTAACCCCGCCTCTGCATCCCAGGGGAAGTCCCGCAGCAGCTCCGCAGACGCTGCGCAGCGCCCCCGCGAGCCCTCGCGCGGCTCTGGAAGTCAGCCGACCACAGAGGGAACAGTTGCACAGAACGCCCCAAACAATAATCATAGGCTTCAGCGTGGCGCATCCATATATACCTGTTAAGCATGATTATTCTCTATCACGTTTCTCATGCGCCTGCCCCCCCCAGACACCGTGCCCCCCCGCCGACGCGAGGTCATCGACGAAAGATGACGCCTTCGGTCGGTCCGACCTCCAAGCAGTTCTCTGAAATATTGGTTCCACATCGTCCAGCGCCCGTCCCGCGCCTTCCCGGCCCGTGGCCCGCTGGACTCTCGCGAATGCGGACGCGGGCGCCACGTTGAATGCATCGGTGGCCAACAGAGCTTCCTGGCTCGCACCCAAGAAGGGTTTCCGAAGCGCGGATCGGCTGCGGGCATCCGAATGCCGCGGGCCTGGGCCTCAGCAGCGAGTCCCTCGGGGCGCTCATCGCCGACTTCTTGGTCGAGGACCCGCCGAGGCCCAAGGTTCTCACGGGCGAACTTGAAGGCTGGGAAACATGGCGCGCGACCTACCTTCTCCATTGAGTTCCTTCGTTCCAGCGTCGAGGCAACTTCCCGTTGCCTCGCCGCGCGGAGCGAGACTGCGGCCAGATCCACGGCAATGGCGAAGGCAAAGCACCCCGCTGCCTTGACAGCGGCAAGCTTGGACGGACACGGCAGGACGCTTTGAAAGTCTGCGCTCATGCGCGGTCGCCCTCTACATCGAGTTCCCCCCGACGCCCCGGCATGGGGGCGTGAGACCTGTCTCCTGGCATTGCGATGGTATAGCTTGGGAAGCACACTGCTACGCGCGATGCTGCGCTGGGATGAAGCACGCTTGTCGCCCGACTTCCATGACCTTGCAACAGCAATCCCCGACTGTTTAAAACCGCGCGGCCCACGTCGCCCCCCCGCCCCCCCCCCCCCCCCCCCCCCCCCCCCCCCCCGCCCACCCGAACGCAGCCCGGCAGAAGAGGGGGCGCGCAAGTCTGGCAGCGACCACGGGGGCCACCTTGACATCCCCGCAGGTGATCAAGTCTGGCCAGATAGCTATATGCCACTGCTCGTTGATGCCTGGATGCGATGCAGCGATCCCCCTGGGAACATCCTGACGGAAAAAAAAAAGGCCCCAGCGTTATAGCCGGTGAGCACGTCTTCCCCGGTGAACTGATCAGCCATTTCCCCTTTGTCCAACGTGCCTTCCAAAGGCCTGGGCGACCCTGCCCGGGGCGCCCACGGCGCCGACGCCTGGCGCAAGTCGGAGAAGGAGGACAACTTCCGCCGCGCATTGCGCCCCCCCCCCCCCACCACCCAAAAAAAAAGAAGAAGTCGGCAGCGCGCGCGCATGAGTTCGGTCGCGCTCGGGCTGCTCGGCGCCAACGGAGAGCCCGACATATCACCCCTTGGATGCGAGCAACTGCAAGTGGCCAGTGGACAGCATGCACATGGGAATCGGCCCCGGATCGTTGGGGGCGCGGCGCACGCCAAGACAGGCTCGGCAGCCTGTGTCCTACGCCACTCGGAATCAGGCGCTGCCCAGCCTAGCCCACAGCTGGCAGCGCTCGCGCGCGCGGGCTCTGTGAAGCTCTGCTCTCATAGAAAAGAATGCGTTGGGTTGGGAACGCATTGCAACGCGTCCTCCGGTCGCAATCATGTAGTCGACAAAAAGAAGGTTGCCGTGTTTTCCCCGATCCTCCGTAGCCTTCAGCTCAAGCCGCTCTGACTCAAGATGGCCGAGCCGGCTTGCGCGGCCGCGGCCGGCGGCCTGCCTCTGGCCCCTGGCCCCGCCGTCCGCGGGGGTGGGGGCGGAGGTCGGCCCTCCCCCCCCCCCGCCCGCCGGGCCGCGCCCCCGTGCGCCCCTGCCCGCGCCGCCAGCGCGGCCCGTTGGCTTGCGGAGTCGCCTGCGGCCCGCCGCCGCCGCCAGCGGCGCGCGGCCGCCTGTCGCCGCGCGGCGCCGCCCCGGGGCTGGCGCCGCGGGCTGCCGCGGCGGCCGCCGGCGCGCCTGGCGCGGGCGGCGCTGCTGCCGCCGCTGGTGCTGCTGACGGCGCGGCCGGCGCCGCCGCGGCGGCGGCCGCCGCCGCCGGGGCGCCCCTGCCTAGATGGGCGGCGGCGCTGCGAGATGTTAACTTGGCCGGCGAGTAGATGCGAGATGTTCGAACTTAGATGCGAGGAGTTGTCATCTTAAAATGACAACTTGATATAACTTAAGATGTAGCTATATGTATATATAAACAGATATTATCTTCATCAGTGGTAAGATGTATAATAAACTCAAATAAGTTAGAGTTCAGTTTAAAAGAAAGTACATCATGATAAAATAAAGCGAAAAAGAGAATGCCCCATTGGGATCCCGCATTTTGCACCATTCAGTTTTTTCTCCAATCAGATGCTATTTCGTTTCAGGAGAACGCCAGCCACATGTTAAGCGCGCGCGCGTGGAACGTTGCTGCGGCGCGAAACAACGGCAAAACGCGCCCGACGCAGCGAGCGCCGAACTACGCGCGCCAAACTTCAACGTAACATCGCAGCGGCAATCCATCCACTTGCGAGCGGACGCGCCAAACAACAATGCGCAGATCCGAAAAGGCAACCGTCGCAACGCGAAACTTCCAATCCCAAAAAAATACAAGATAAAAGAATTAAACGCATGCGGCGCACGGGCGAGGCATGCTTCCGACGTGGTTGATGTCTGCCGCAAGTGCGACGACCGCACGCCCGCGCCCAAATTCTGCCCCATGATTTTACGCAGCCGCGATGTTCCACCCCCGCCACGCAGACATGTTTCGCGCCAGACACCGTTTCGCCGCGTAGCCGACGTTGGCGCCGCGACGCAATTTATTTCCGCGCGCGGGCCCGCGCGCATGCGCGCGTGCGTGGAACGCGCGAGCGTTCGCGCCCGAATGGTGCGTCGCGCATCGCGTCGCGCGCTGTCCGCGCAGCATGCGACGTTCGCGCAGTGCGACATGGCGCGGGCATTTGGCATTTGTCGACGCGCCCCGCGCGCGATGCGCGTTGCGCGACGAGGCCGCCCCGAGATGCGCGAAAGGCAAGACGGGCGGGGGGGGGGGGCCTGCGGCGAGCCAGGGGCTTGCCGAAACGAAAGGGCGCGCGCCATTGGATAAGCTGCGTGGGCTCGGAAGGCGCCGCGATCGCCGTTGATTCCGATGCAATCCCCCCCGCCCTTGCAAGACTGAGACAACATCGCCGACGCGACATGATCTCCACACAAAAAACACACACACACACACACACACACACACACACACACACACACACACACACACACACACACACACACACACACACACACACACACGCAAAGCGCCGCATCAAAAACGAGCGCCGCGGCGCCTGCATGTCGGCGGAAAGAACACTGGCAGCGACGACGGCGCGGACGACCAAGGGCGCGGCGCGCGCGGGCTGCGGGCCCGCATGACTCGCGCACCGCTTCTGTAACGACGCCAGCGCCACCACGATCAACTACAGTTTTACTTGAACGGCGTCGGGATGCGACGAACGCGCGGCCCCTCGTTGCGATGCTGCGCGCGCGTTGCGTGCGCTGTTTTGGCTGGAGCGCCCGTTATGGACATGCGATGCGGCGCGACATGTTCGCCGGCCGTCTCCGCGCGCTGTTTTCGCACAGGCTTTCACTGTTAGCCGTTCCCCCGAGCACGCGCACGCATTGGTTGCTATGTTTTGTTTTCGAGCCGCGCCCCATTGCGGAGCCGCGGAGAACAGCCTTGGCTTGTGACATGTGTATATATATATATACACAGAAAAGTAGATGCGTGGACGGATGAGACTTGATACTGAAGGGCTTGGAGGGCATGCAGAGGCGGGGGAGCGGGGGGATCTAACAATCTGGACAATCGGGACAAAACCTCGGGACGAAACAACCATCGGGACAACCATCGGGTTAACCATCGGGGCACCTGTGCGTGCGACTATATATATGTGTGATTATCAAATTGTACGAATATAAGAAGTATAAGCCCAAAGCGGCAAGGCTGGCCCTCTCCGCCCATTGTTTCTGCTGCGCAGGATTTCAACATTCGCAGCCCCCCAGTGCACGCGCAGTTTGCTTCGCATGGCTTGTTTTCGGCGCGTCCTCTAGCAATGCTCCAACATGTAGCTGCATCTCCGTTCTGATTTGGATGACCACATCTGAATCCATCTACTCGTCCAGCGCCGCTGCCTTTCGCGCGTCTCGCGTGTCAGGCGCGATGTCGACGGGAGCTCATTGGCTGACGCTGCTTGGCCTTCGCGGGCAGGACTCTCCCCCGGCGCTAGGCTCGCCTCTACTCCAGTCGTGCTGCGGCAGCAGCGATGGCACCTCCTTCGGGGGCGCCCCGTCGAAGGGCCGCGTCAGCGCCAGCGGCGGCGTCTCCACTGCGGCCTAGAACTGGGTGGGGCCCAGCAAACCGGGGCGGTGTAGATTATGCGGTCTGGGAATCAATTCGTGCTGGCCTGGCAACGCCTTTTGTGCGCTCTCCGAAAACTCATGGGCGCCCTCCGATACTGCAGTAGTGAACGGATTCCTGATGTCCACTTGCTCTGCAAGCCCAGCTGGTGTTATGGGCGTCGCTCGCGGCTGCTGCCTTGACCTTTGACTGCGTACATGTCACGTTGTTCCTGCGCCCGCTGGTGCTTGGGTGCCTGGAATATGTACATGTCCGTCGTGGTTTGCATGTGTTGTTGCTGTTGCTGAACGTGTTGCTGCCGGGTAAGCACAGCTCCTGGCGTGGGGAAGCGCCCCGCTAGCGGCAGCGGCAACTGCAACCTGTGCGCCACCATGGCCGACCAGACTACACGCATGGATTCGTCCATATGTTCCAACATGGCTTGTAGCGCGTTGATATGTCGTTGAAGCTGAAACTCTTTGTCCGCGGGCGGGGGCGCCTCCTCCATGGGTGCAATTTGCGGCCCGTTTGCTGCCATGCTGCGCTCATCTGTCATTATGGCACCAGCCTGCGCAGCCAATCCCTTCTGCTCCAAGTGCTGCACCGCCCCCCTCGCGTTGCAGGGGTCGCCCTCTAGGTTTTCAATGTTGTTTTGCAGTTCCTTGAGCCTCATCTGACATGCTCTCACCGTGTCACCCACCATGCTCTTGCGTTGTCTGGCTGCCGCGAGCTGCCCACCAATCGGCGTGGTAGTCCACACCGCGTACTTGATGATGGCAAGCTCTGCCCTCTCGTCGCCGTATGGCTTGTCGGCCGTGGTTGCCGCCGTGCCCAGCTGCGCCAACATTGTGCAACCCTCCTTCTCTCTTCTACACTGGATGCATTTGGCTGGCGCCCCTGGGCGCCTGCCATGATTCCCACTCAGAGCGCTGGCCTGCCACTGCTGGTGGAGCCAGCGTGACCTTGCGAGGTAGGCTATCGTTATTTTGTCCTCTGGCGGTAATGGTCGCTGCTTAGATGGAGGACGGTTCGCAACGCGATTTGGCTGGGACGACGCGCGGTTCCGATCGTCGCATCGGCCGGCGCAGAGGCATTGCCAGGGACGGTCTCGAACTGCTCGTCTACATGAAAATTGCCAATGTCCAGGCCGCGGCCGTGACATATCTTCCTGCTCTGGAGGTCGTCGTTGCGCGCTGAGATGAGCCCTGAACAGTAGCCTCGAGGAGGCCGCTCTCAGTTTGACCCTGGCTGTGGCCCTCTTGGCTCTGGCCCTGCGGTGTCAAGCTTGCTCGCGGGATCGCGAGTGCGAGTTGTCACCCTTCGTGGTGCGCGCGCGAGGGGAAAAAACGAATGTGGCCGAGTTGAAAATCTCGACACACGTAGTTGTGACTGTCCTGGCCAGCCGCCCCCTGGCGTGCCGGCCTGTCAATCAGATGCCTTCTTCTCCGACTCCCCCATCCGCCTCCTCCTCCCTCTCCTCCTCCTCCCCCTCCTCCTCCTCCTCCTCCTCCTCCTCCACTTCCTCCTTCTCCTTCTTTTCCTTTTCCTCATGTTAATTTTCCTCCTGTATCCTCCTTCTCCTCCTCCTCCTCCTCGTCCTCCTCCTCCTCCTCCTCCTCATCCGATTCTCCCTTCCTCCTCCGATCCTCCAGATCGGAACTTATTAGGAATGGGCTTGGGACGGGGAGAGCGTGCTGCAGCATCGTTAATGCATCGTGGCTTTCCTTTGGCTTTTCCTGCTGTATCCTCCTCCTCCTGCTCCTCCTGCTCCTCCTGCTCCTCCTGCTCCTCCTCCTCCTCCTCCTCCTCCTCCTCCTCCTCCTCCTCCTCCTCTTGGATGTTTCGATGGCCGAGGCTGCGGGCAGCGTGTCTGGCACTCTGGTGCGGTCGAGGTCACCCCGTTCCCCCCCCTCGTGGTCCAACTGTCCTCCTCGGCCTTCCCATGGCCGGAGCCAGTAGAACGAGGGCAGGACCCAGATACCAAGCGGCTGAAGGAAATCGTGACGGCTGATTTATAAACCGCTCTGGACCTCTGGACGCCCATTCTGGGCCTCGGGACTGTCAACGGACTACTTTGAGAAAACAAAGCGCACCCGAGAAGAAGCCGAGGAGTCCAGCGGCCCATATCTCGAGAGAATAAAGACGCCAGACCTTTCGAGACTCAGAGATCTTTGAAAGCCGACGACCCCGTAGGAGGTCTCGGGCGCGACGACCGCCCCAGAGCTTTCGGGGACAACAGACAGCGCCCCGCAAGGCACGACTCGCGCCTGCCATCACGCTCCCGCGCTGACGCCCTGACGAAAAGGAAGGACAGCTCTACGGCCCACGCCGCGAAACGCGGAGCGCTGTCATCTTCGCGCCACTTCGGGCGACCCCGTGTAAACTTCATGCGCCCCACGGGTGCCGACGGGCCACGGGCCACGAAACGCCAGGGAACGCCACGGCCGTACAGGAGCGTTCGGGGGCGGTGTGGGGAAGGACGCTAGAACGAGCCGCCCCGTGCACCGGGACCACCGGTCGGGTGCCGAGCCTCGGGAACGATGGAAATCACCCCCTTCTTCACCTTCATTTTCACGTCGAAGTCGCCCAATGTCCTGCGAGGAAACCACAAGCGGGACGCTACGGCGAGCCGCCGCGCACCGCTGGGCGGCCACGGGCGGCACGGGAGAGGAGGGGTGCAGGAACAGAACACGGGCGCGCGGGGGGGACTGCAGAGTGAAGACACGGGGCTGTGCGGGAGGGGGGGGGAGAAGAGGGGAGATGAGGGGGAAAGGGACAGGGAAAAGGAGAGGGGAAAACAAGCAAGCTAGGTGGTTCGCCCCATATCTGACATCCAACACATTCCACCAAAGCCTTCCCGGCGCGCTGTGTTTCCCAAAACACACCATGTATTGTGGGAGTATCACTTGCGTTTAGGTGCCCCCACGTCGGTCGGGCCAGCTCGTCGCCGCCCATCGCCGCGCTTTCTCTCATTATTTCGCATTCATTCGCGTTGCGTTGCAGTGTTTTGAATTGTCTTGCAGACGTTGTGGGAAAGAGGGGGAGGCACCTCGGCGCAGCCGAAGCCGTCGGGGCCACGGGCGCACCCCGAGGAGGCAACGCGGTGAGGGCATTGTTTTTAACCCATCGATGCCGCGGGCGCGCCCCGAGGAGGCAACACCTTCTGGGCGGGTCTGGTAAGGCATTGGTTTTGGTGGTATCGTAGTGGGCGAGGGCCCCGCAGAGGGCCTCGGCGTAGCCGAGGCCGTCGGGGCCACGGGCGCGCCCCGAGGAGGCAGCGCGGTGGACTCGGCATCGGAATTGCCTGGCTGATTTCGAACGCCCCAGCCCTCGGGGGGGGAAGAACCACCCTGCCAGGCGAGCCAGCCACATCGCTGCCACCCGTCGGCGGACCCACCTCAGACGCCGAGGCCCCATGGTGCGCGCCAGCTCCTGCTTTGCTGACTCCAGCTCCTCGCGTGCCTCCGCGCCGCGGCCAGTGTCGTCGGGCACGCCCAGCGCAAACAGGCCCCACGAGGGAGGCCTCTGAGATGCTGATGGTGGTGATGACGACGACGATGACGGCGACGACGATGATGATGGTGATGCTGATGACGATGATGATGATGAGAGGAGAGTAGTAGATAAAAGCCGCTACGATCAGCCTTGATGTAGCCAAACTTTGAGCGTCGGGTGTACCCTGACACCGAATAGACTTTACCAGAGTGGCTTGTGCAGAGTGGAAACGTAATCGCGTGCAGAGTGCATATCAGGACGATGCGTTGACCGACTTCCACCAACTCGCGTGAGAACGTTGGTATGTGAAGGGTCGAATGCGTGAAATGCTGTTCATATACAAGTAGCCAAATATTGTAAACCAGAAAAATGAAACTAAATTACTCCGCGGAGGGGCAGTCGACTACTCCGTGCTCGTGAGCGCGGGGTAGTCGACTACTCCGTGCTCACGCGCGCGGAGTAGTCGACTACCCCGCGGGGGTGAGCAAGGATCCCCCCGCTACACGAGGGGTTCGCTACAGCAAAACCAAATGCCTTACCAAGTGACGCCGTCGCTTGTCGGCCTCGGCGGCGGCGGCGTTGACGGCGCCATCGTGCTGGGCCACCGCAACCAGCGCGCTCGCGTCGCTGGGCACGGCGTAGCGGACTGTCAATATGTGAACAGACGTGGACAACCCGCCCGCTGCACCTCGAGGTCGAACCCAGCTTCCTCACGGCGCGCCTCCAGCGGCCCGCCGCAAGCGCCGCAGGGTCTAGGCGGCTGAAGGTGGCGCCGCGTGCGTCGCAGCGCCACGTCCAGCGGTCCCACGCGGGGACAGGGACTTGTTGGGCCGTATGGAAGCCGCACTCGCGGTGGATGCACTCCCGCACGGCCTCGATGTCCCTGCTGCGAGCCTTGGGGCCGCCGCCGCAGGAAGCGCCGGTAAACGTGCCACCCCTTGCTGCAAAGCGGTTCCCCGCAGGGCCGGCCCGCGCGTTCGCCCGTGCGCAAGCGGTTCGCGCAGAGAGCCCCCTGCGGCGCGAGGTCCTTCCCCAGAAGCTCGCGCGCGGTGCTGCGGCACTCGACGTCGCTGAAGCGCTGGCCCGCCGCCCTGGGCGTCGCCTGCTGCCAGCTGCCCGCGTGGGCCCCCCCGCAAGTAGTTCAGCCTCGCCTTGTCCTCGCTGGAGTTGCGCCGGTGCCAGAGTTCCTCCTCCTCCTCCTCCTCCTCCTCCTCCTCCTCCTCCTCGTCCTCCTCCTCCTCGTCCTCCTCCTCCTCCTCCTCCGCTGCTCCTTCTCGTTTTCTGCCCTCCCATCCTTTTCGGCGCCCCCTGCCCGGGGGGGGGCCTCCGCCTCCACCTCTTACGCGGCTTTGTCCGGCTCCCCAGCCTGGCTCCTTAGCCTCATCCTCTCCTCCCTCCTCAATCCTCCTTCCTTCCTCCTCTCTTCCCTCCTCTCCTCCCACCTCCATCCTCCTCCTCCCTTTTCGCTCCCCTCCTCCCTCCCACCTGCCTCCTCCCAACTCCTCTGGGGACCTGACGATCGGGCGCGTCCCGGGCCTGGACGGCTCCAAGCCCTCCACGCGCCCGTCGTTGACGAAGCCGCCGAGCTGGTGGCGCAGGCGGGGTGTAGACAGGAGACACCCGTAGGCCACCACCGTGCAAGTCTGGGGCCACTCATGGTGGTGTGTGGATGCTTTGTGCGGAGGGGGGGCTGCGGGGAAGCAAGACCTCCGACGCCTCGAAGATGCCGACAACCAGCCACAACCCCCAGCATTTGCAAGCCATGTTCGGGCCCAGGGTCATCAAGAAACCACGCGGGATGAGACACGAGCCATGGGAAGGGATTGGAACTTGCGTGGCCCGCGGGCGCACGGTCGTGATCAATGCGGCATTCGGGACAACACTTAGGTCCCCACCGTGGTAGTGACGGTTGATTTTAATATGAATAAAGGTCAAAGCGTGAGCACGCTTGGCCTCTCCGCCGAGAAACCGGCCTCGCATTCCACATCCAACCATCCTCCTTATCTCACGCAGGGTGTCCCCTGGGCCAGAAACGCTACTGATGACTATGATTTTCCTTGCCGCTGAGTTACCAATCCTTACACAGGCGGGGAGGGTAGGTAGGCCTCCCACCGAGCCTGCCTGAGTGGGCTGGGCAAGTCAGGTCTTCCTCCGAGTCTGCGGCGGGCCTGGCGAACGGCTCCCAGACTCACGTGCGGATAACTCGACAGTGCTTCACCCTGTCGGAGACCACAGAAAACCTTATCGGACAAGAACGGGAAGCGCCGCTTTAGTCCAATGTGCTTTCTGTGCGAAGAAGAAAAGGAAGGCGAGGGCGGCGAAGAGGCTATGACGAGGACGACGTGGATAACGGGAGGATAAAGAGGAGCATGAGGACAACGAGGAGGAAGAGAAGCACAAGGACGAAGACGAAGAGAACGAGGGCGAGCACGAGGAGGAATGAGGAGGACGATGACGACGACGACGCCAGAGGACAATAAGAGGCAATTGGAGAAGGATATTGAATCAGGAGAGGGTCCTGGTGACCCTATCGAGCTACCCTGGGAGCTCCTGGCGCCGCGCGGGGTTGTCGTGGGGCCTGTTGGGGGCTTCTTGGGAGCCTGTTGGGCCTTCTTGTGGGCTTCTGGGGTCTTCTGGTTCTTTGGGAGCTTTCTTGGGCCGTCTCGGCGCCATCTTGGGCCGTCTTGAGGCTTTCTTGGGCCGTTTGGGGGCCTCCTGGGGCGTTCCCAAGAGTCTCTTGGGGCCCTCTTGGCCCGTGTTGGGCCGTCTCGGGGTTCTCGTGAGCTGTCTGGGTGCCTCCTGGAGCACTCTTGGGGGTCTATTGGGGTCCTCTTGGAGCGCTCTTGGGACACTCTGGGGCGTCTTTGGGTCTCTTTGGACCGTTCGAAAGCTCTCCGGGAACGATTCTAAGACGATGTCGATTCGGAGTCCCCACTGGGACCGATGTTTGAGGATATCTCGAGCGAAACGGCCATATTTCAGAAACTCTTCCGGACAAGAACGGGAAGCGCCGCTTCTCTGAGCTTGCGTGCTCATGCGCGCATGGAGTTGCATCCAACAAGCAAGTGTGCGCATGGGGTGCAATAGCTGGGATCCCCTGCATGCCCAGATGGTTGCCATTGGTAGCTTATGTTTAGTGGTTGCCTGCGCTTTCCTTTGGTCTGGTTTTGCGCGTGGCCTGTGCGCGTGTGTGTGTGTGTGTGGGTGTGGCTATGGGTGTGTGCGTGTGCGTGTGCGTGTGCGTGTGTGCGTGTGTGCGTGTGTGCGTGTGTGCGTGTGTGCGTGCGTGTGTGCGTGTGTGTGTGCGCATGTGTGTGCGCGTGTGTGTGTGTGTGTGTGTGTGCGTGCGTGCGTGCGTGCGTGCGTGCGTGCGTGTGTGTGTGTATGTGTGTGTGTGTGCGTGAGGGTATGTGTGTTTGTGTGTGCGTGCGTGCTTCCGTGCGTGTGTGTGTTCATGTGTGTGTGCGTGCATGCGTGCGTGTGTGTATGTGTAAGTGTGTGTAAATGTGTGCGTGTGAGTGTGTATGTTGTACGTTGCGTTGTGCGTGGGGAAGATGTATGATGGTGTACAACGACATGAAGACTGTGATGGTACGAACCATGTCGAGACACATCACGACATATCACGACATAGCACAACATAGCAAGACATATCGAGACATCCGAGACATATCAAGACACATCAAAACAACAACAGTGCAAATTCACCAGCCACGCCAGCCGAGCGGCTGGCGTGGAAGGTGGTCGAGTGAAAAGGGCGAACGGGGCAGCCCGAGCGATGACACAAGGATGGGTCATGACGTGCTTGCCATCGCACGCCCTCTCAGGGTGTAGGCCCTTCGCTCGGGGCCTCCCTCTCCCCCGCTCACGCTCGGGGCGGCCGTCGCGCAACACCGCGAAGATTGACTTCATCCCGGCTTGCCGCGGGCGCTTCCCCTTCGGGGCTCGCTGGGGGGACCCCGGCACCCCCGGCTTGCCTGAGAGGAGCTAAGACTGCGCTGGGGGGGGGGGCCTTCTCCGCGGTCCCGTTTAACGCGAACGGCTCCAACCCTTCCCCCTGCCGTGCTCGCCCCTCGGCGGCAGGCCATTCCCGCCTCGCGGGTCGCCGCCCGGCTGGTCGATCGGTCCGTTTCGGGCGCCCTGGTGCCGGAGAGAACAGCCCGCCCCCCTTCGGCAGTTGCCCTTCGCGGAGGTGTGGCAAGGCAGTAGGCGCTTGGAGCTTGCTTTTTCATTTTCCGGGATAGCGGCCGTCATCGCCCCCAGATGACGTCACGTTCCGCGCTGGCGGCGTCCGGGAATGCCTGGGGATGACCGAAGCCAAGAAGGAGCAGCATGTAGGTGGCGATCAGCACCACAGCGCCTGGGTACACCACAGTGCTCGCGTGCACCGCAGCGCGCGTGTACAACGCAGCGCCTGTGTACACAGCAACAGCCGTGTACAACGCAGCGCCTGTGTACACCACAGTACTTGCGTGCACCACAGCGCTTGTGTACAACACAGCGACTGTGTACACCGCAGCAACCCTTTGCAACACAACACCTGTGTACACCAAAATGCTTGCGTGAACTGCATCGCCTGTGCACACCACAACGCCACAACGCCTGTGTACACCATGGCATCCGCGTGCAACGCAACGCTGGTGTTCACCACAGCGCCTGCGTGCACAGGACAGGTAAAAGGAGCATGTAAGTGAGGACCTGCTGCGGACAGCTAAACACCACGGCAGAAAATGCTGATAATATAATGCGATGTTCTTACCTCCTCCCTCCTCTTCCACCTGGCCTGGCCTGTGCTGCATCTGCAGAGCGCAGCTCGGCCGTCACTGGCCCTTTCTATCCAGTGGTATTCCGCTGAAGCCAGATCAGAAGCCTTTTCTCCACACAGGCCGTTCCACCCTGTTCGCATGGCAAGGAGGATGCTGTCTTCCCAGAAGTCGGGTCAGATCAGATCCTCCTCCTCCTCATCCTCCTCCTGCTCCTTTTCCTCCTCTTCCATTCCTTCTCCTGATAAACAACACTCCCTGTCGCGCCCCGAAGCCAGATTTTAGGGCGGGCGGGGCGTTTCGCCTGAGACTTCCTTACCATCTATGACTCCGAAGCTAAAACTTGCCGACAGTTTGACAGAGGGAGAGAGGGTCGTTTGCAAAAAGTGGCTCTCGCTTTGTCGCCGCGCACATTCGTTTCAAACATGTGCCAGTGTTTCCCATACTGAGGGCGAATCGTTTTCAGAATGTGGCTATCGCAGTAGCGCCGCGCACGTTAATCTTAAACACTTGCAGGAGCTTCACATATTGAGGGCGGTTCAATGTCAAAACGTGGCTCTCGCCGTAGCGCCGCGCACATTCGTTTTTATGCAAGAATTTCACAAATCTACACGGTCAACGTACCAGGCATGCAGTTTTGGAAGGATTCAGGAGTATGCGGGCGCAACACTTACGTTGATTCGCGGTGCTGAAGTCCCAAGAATGGCGTTATGGCACGATTCAGGATCGTCAAGACGCAACTGTCAACTTGATCCGTGGCGTTCGAATCCCAAAAACAAAATTCTGGCATGCTTCAGGGTCTTCAAACGGTCTTCCAGTTCCGTCAATGGCAAAGAACCGTCGTAAGGGCCTGTGAAGAGGGAGCTTGGAGGGAGGTTGTATTCCAACATCAGTGATGACTCTTGGGATTACACTGGTCCTCCTCTTCGTCCTCTTCCTCCTCCTCCTCCGCCTCCTCCTCCTCCTCCTCCTCCCCCTGTTCCTCCTCCTCCTCCTCCTCCTCCTTCCCCCCGTCGTGCGGGTCGGCGCTACAGCGCACGTGCGCATCTCAGCGTGCACCGCAGGCTGGTCTATTGAATTTGGGCGGCCAATTCTGCGGGAGCCTCCTGGGCGCAAATCGGAGGAGTTTGGATGATGCGGGAGGATTCGGGGGGACTCATAGACTCCAGCGACGTACCTCTTTCCAGAATGATTCGCGTCCAAGTCCTGTATAAAACATGTGTTTTCTGTGGAATCCACAAGCGCTTCATTTTGTCACAAGGGTTCCTTTTGAAATTCTATATGCAACAATGGTGCTCTGTTGCGCACAGATGCTGTGGTGCACACAGGCGCCACGGTGTACACAGGCGCTGTGGTGCACGCAGGCACTGTGGTGTGCAGCGGTGCTGTGTTGCACACGGTTGATGCGGTGTATGCAGGCGCAGGGGTGTACACAAGCCCTGTAGTGCACGCAGGCACTATGGCACACATTAGCGCTGTGTTGCACGCGGCTGCTGTGGTGTACATCGGAGGCATGGCGTACACATGCGCTGTGGTGCACGCAAGCACTGTGTACACAGGCGCATTGGTGCAAATCGCCCTATATGTTGCTGCTACCCGTCCTCGGTCAGCCGCCGGTGCGAAACGTGACGTCATCGGTCCCGGCCCCCCCTGGATGACGGCCGTCATCGGCCCGGAATAAACAAACAGGCTCTTGGATCCCATGCGGCTTTTGCCCGTATTACGTCCCTGTGACGCGGAGCTGCTCCTCCCGCGCACCGCCGCTGGCGGCAATCCGCCCCGCTCCTCTCTGCCCTTCGCGGGCTCTGGTGGACTCCTGCTCC